ACCTAAACCATTCCTTAAAGCCACCTCATCATTCCCATATGTCATGATCCTATGCCCCAGAGAACAGTGCATGTAGCACTTTCTCCCATCAATAACATGCAGTAGATATTCCGAGTGAGTGTGGTGGACAGATCACCTGAGGACAGTGCCATCTGTTTGACGCAATTTCAGCACCCAGCATATTTACAGCTGAAAGGAGTTTACAGAATTACATGGCTTTTAAAGCATCTCTAGTTGTCTCCATACCAGAAAGTTATCCAGGTGCATGAGATTACTATAGATGTGCATGGAATTCCAATGATAGCATCTTTCATATGTTCAGGGTGGTTTACTAAAAAACTTCTTTTGCCTCATCAGCATTCATAATCAGTACCTAGTCACTTATGAAAAGTCCCAGGCCAAAGTGACTAAGGCAAGCGGTAAATCTTACGGTTCAGTGCCAATTGCCCCATGCACATATTGGAAGATGGAGGAATCACTCCCGCTCTGCTATTATATTCTACCAGTGGGAAGCCTTCCCCGGTAGCAAAATGCAATGATCAGTGTTGCCAGATATAGCTAAGAGCACTGATCATTCTGGAAGAACCCAACAGGCTGGCTGAAAACAAGCCAATCACTAGGTCAACTTGTGTACAACCAGCTAGCCCATACATGGATCAAAGTTAGGCCAGTCCCCGAATGTTGAACCATGTAGGGCCAGCTTTCTCCCTATAGTACATTTCTACACATGGTATTATGAAACCTTGCATAGATTTTGTGTTATATTTAAAGACCTCAAGTTCTCCCCAGGTGGATGCCCTTTCTGAACACCTTTTTGGTTTAGCTGTGGAATCTATTTAAAAAGGTGGTTTATAAACTAGCTTTAACTGGTACTTACAATTAAGAGGGCTCCTTCGTGAGCTTCGTTTTTTTTTTTTTTTTTAGTAGGTAATGCCTTTTCCAAATCACGGTTTTAAAATAAATGATACTCGTTTTACACCAGCAGTGATTGTGGGGATTTTGGTGACTACGTCTCTGGCCCACATGCAAGGTGGTGTGCTTCTAGTTTGGGACATTTCTACATAAGCTTTTGCTCAGTTCATCTTCACCCCACATTAGTTTACTAAAGTCTGGCTTTGAAATGTGTGCACCGTCATTTGCAGTACTAAAAAGAACAGAACAATCCCTAATTAAACCACTAAGGCTGGCCATACATGGACCTGTTTTCTTCAATCAGCCAGTAAGCTGATGGAAAAAAACTGAACAGGATTCCTCCATCCACACAGGTGAGGTGGACAAAAGGAATCCTCCCCGCTGTTTTACCGTATTCTGAATACACTGATTAGCGCAGTATCCAATTGGAAAACACCAAAAGGAAAGTTTTCCAACAAGCCAGTTCAAAAGAACTGAAATTGGAACCGCTATAGATGGACTGAAATTTGTCCAATCCCCGTTGAATCAGCTTTATTTCGATATATGGCCACCACCTTAAGTGGTGAAAATCTATGACAACATGGTGAAATGGAACATTTTAATTACAGACACCAATAGTAAAAAGTAGGGAGGCACTGATACCACATTAAGAATGATTATAGATGCTTTTTATCAGGTAATCACCGATACCTTTTTTTTTTTTTTTCGTGCGGTGCAGCGCAATTTGAGCCCAAAGTGAATGAGCTGAAAAACACGTGATTGTTTACAGCGCGATTTGAGCCCATACATTCTGTATGGGCTCAAATGGCACCGCAGAAAAAAAAAAGTATCGGTTTTAGTATCAGCATTTGCCGAAATGCTTAGAATTAGCACAGATACCGGTATCAGTGCAACCTTAGTAAAATGAATGCATATATAAAAAGCTGGCAAGTCAATATGAAGCATCAATTTGCCTCCAGGACTTTAGATTATTCAGAATGGGTAATGGCAGTGGAAGCATAAGACATCCATTCGTTTGGCAAAACCATCTCTAGTTTAGAATAAAGTTACTCATTCATGGGAGAAAACAGACCTACCTAAAGAAAGGCAGAATATAAAAATTCTTGTTTAGAATACCAGTAAGTGCCACTTTGGGAAAATGTTTCTGGATGATGATGGTAGACATTGCTTCCATGCCGGGGACATCATCCATCAACTTGAGCAATCAATTTGACCAAGCTCGATAGTATACACTGGTATGTTGGTTCCAGGGGTAGAAACTCACAGATCTAGCAATGTAATTCTCTGGCGGGAAGCATTTAATAATACTTCAGTTATGTGCAGGCACCCACAGCACCCCATTTAGGGCAGAGAAAATGATAAAAGCTCTGACCCATTGCTATGGGTTACCACAGACTGCTATATTATTGACTATTGGGTGAACCAACCTGACCACTGTTTAATGCCAAAAACCGAGTTGAGGACAACTCTATGGCTGTAGTTTTGTCTTGGTCTTTTTCTGCCATCACTGTTCTTACTCCATGGAATCCTAGGAATAGGCATTTACAATAGGCTCCCAATAGTATTGCTCAGATATCTTTTGCTTCATCTTTCAAACGGATTGCTTAACCATTAAAACAAACCTTTACCTTTCTGTGTCTTCCTGCACGTCGGGGCAGGCACTGCCTTGTAAATTGATCACGCAAGACGAAAGACGGGAAGTACAAACTGTGGTCCTTTAAGGCCTTCCGGTTGGGCAGAACAAGTGAACGCCACAGCAAGATCTGTATGAACGTGAAATTCCAGGTACTGGGACTGTAGCTAGGATCTCAGGAGGCCGATGTGTCCACATATCAGACGGTTTACATTTCCCATTTGAAAAAAAGATGTTGGAACGTGCAGTTTTATAGCAGTGCCGCAAATTTTGGTTATTCGCAAACACTGACCCTAAACAAATCTATGTATAAATTACAGCAATGTGTACAGATGGTCCAGCAACAGGAAAGGGTAAGAGTGACGATCAAACAGTTACTGTCCATTGAAGGAATAAGGTTTGGGCAATTGATGGAATGTTCAATGATACTGCATACAAGATAAAATATGCCTTTAGTTATATGCACCCACACTCATCTAAATCCCATACTATGTCTACTGCTCAAAAAGTGACTTGGAAATCCCCCAGTAATCGTCCAAAATAGCAAAAAAGTGTTCAGGAAAGAAGATCTGCAGATTAAGGACCACTGGAGGCACAAAATTAACCAATCTTGTTGGACCAACCCCAAACAAAAAGTGGTCTTTGAATTTTGATGTCACTTTTTTGGATTTGTTAATATACATTAGCTTAACCAAAAAAGTATTATGTAGGATGTGGCAATTTTACCAGGAGACCAATTACAGAACACTGAAGATTGAGTGGATCTGGATGAAAACTTGGTTGTTCTAAATGAAAAACACTGCCCACTACAATACGGCAGATTCCACAGCAAATATCAGCTAACATTTTTGTTTGGGATGGAATAAAAACCAAGTGCTAGTGTAAGTCAGTGTGCATACAAACAAAATGTCACATAAAAAGGTGTGTTATGGTTTTCTTTAATTATTCTTCTGTCAATATAACATTTTAGGTTCATCATCACTTACCTGAGAAACCATCTGCACTGATTAGAAGGAAAAGATCTTCTTTCAGATCACATTAGGTAGCATGGAACATATTGCAAAACATGAGGGACCAAAAACTACACAGCCTGTAATCTACACTGCCATCTAGTGGCTGCAAATGCCACAGTCCACACTGCCTTTTATAATCAGGCTGAAGATACCTATATTCCCCGTCATGGTTTTACTAGTGAAAAGTTAAAAGGTAAAAAAATAAAAATTAAAAAAAGCCTCCTCTCTTTTCAGCAGTGATCGGCACTGTAACATCGATATTTCCCTTTAGTAAATAAAGAGCGCCATCACAGCCTCTGAGAATGGCATTAATCACTTATTGCTAAGCAACGAATGGGCACGTCTCCAAACTGACTGGGTTGTGCAGGCATCATCCCAACATCGATTGTTTGGCTGGCGGTTGGATTCTTGTAAAAGAAAAAAAAAAATCCTAGTGGCCAATTAGCTGCTGGATTTCTTCTACAAGCAGCTAAGGGGAGGGTCCTCCCTTTTGCGGCTGTCTTGGGCTCAGGAGACTGGACAAGTGCAGTCAGCAGTTGACTATAGAGCTCACCAGGGACTCAAATGGCCTTAATCATCTCTATGGTCTGAGAAACCGGAAGAGATGAATTTGTCACTTCCGATTTTGCCGGTGGTTTGAAAAAAACCCAATCTTTATTCTTTATATTTTAACCAACAATTGGGCATTAAATTGTGCAATAAACTTCATTAAAAAAAAATATTCCCTCCGCCTCACTTCCTGTTTTATCTGCAAAATGTGAAGTTAAAGAGGAACTAAACCCACCGACTAACAAAAAACTGTTCCATCCAAGGCATTCCTCGAACAGCTGTTACAGTTACTAGTGTGCTTATGTTAGCTTCCAACCAACCGTCAACCCATCAAATGGCTGGTGTCATAGCGGATGGGAGGGTTTAGTTCTGCTTTAAATTGAGATAAAAAACCTCAGTGGGGCATTGAAGGGAAAAAAACTGACAGGGCTTATAACCCCATCCAAAACTACAAAGGTATAGGCTTTAGATATAGTTTAGGATGAAGGTAGAAGGCATTAATAAATTAAGGATCAAAAGGCACCCACAGATATTGCATATAGACCTGCTGGTAGAATAAAAAAAAGCTGATCCCATTAGTCAGCACATGGCTGTACATTCATGCAGGCTGTGCAGTTGTCATGATTAAATACAGACACTACATGCTATCTATAATCCTGACCTTACACCCAGCATGTGTCCAAGCTACATACTTACCTTTGTGTTTTTTTTTACCCCTAGAGCAGCCATCCAGGATCTACATGGGAATGCTTTCTTACCTGGGCCTCCACAAGGATTCAGAGCCTCATACTAACCAGGATTAATATGTAATATAACCGTGTAATGAATCCAGCAGTGGTGTGTGTGTGTACATGTATGTGTGCTAGGGGATAATATTCCTAAGTGATACATACATTTGTAAAATAGTGTGGATGAAATGGCAGCAGTTTTTTCTGGCTTTACAGCAATGTAATTATGGTCGCTCTCCCAAGAAGGTGTGCTGCTGCCGTACTCCGATGGCTCGTCGCTGGACCCTTCTGTCTCTACCTTCGGGGTTATTACAACACTATGCTTGTGGATTTCGGTCTTCTCAGCAGAGGCCTTCTGCACAAGTGTGGGTTTGGAAGGAGCCTGTAACAGATGTACACAAAAAATAAGACATTAAAGATTACATGAAAAAAAAAAAAAAAAAAAAAAAACACAACAACACACATTTGGCAGCATTGAAGGGAATGCAAGTATTTGGGACAAAATACGTTTTGTCAAATTTTAATAACTAGTGCTGTATCTCGGACCCAACAGTTTTATTGCAGAACCTAACTGCACACAACTGTGTGCCATAACTGGTACAATGCTCCCACTAGCTTCCAAATATTGCCAAATTGTTTTGGACATCTGGTTTAGGAGGGCAGTTCTTCGAGTAGCTGTGCACCGAAACGAAAATTCTGGTGCCAAAAACAGAACCGAAATGTCTGCGGATGTGGGGAGGCTCCAATTTAAAAAAAAAAAATTTCTACTTTCATGTAGATTTTATTTTATAATGATTTAATTGCGATCACATAGGGGACCAATAGTCCCCTATGTGATAGCATATGAGTGACAGGTCCTCTTTGTAGGGGGTGAGAGGCAGTAAGTGCAAGGAGGGGGCAGGAGAGGAGCAGTGTATACAGAGAGGCTCCCTCACTGCTGTCACTATATGTCGGTGCAGGTTTTTAAATGCAATTGCTGGCTTTTTTTTTTTTTCTTCGTTATGAGCTGTCACTTGCCGGTGCTATAGGAAACGGTTTCTTTTAACTCAGTGAAAGAAACTAATTAATTTAGGGAAAGAAACTAAAAGGAAACTTTTTCTTTTCAGCTAATTATGTGAGATATAGTGAAGGAAAAAAAAAAAAAAAAAACACCACAGGTAAGTACATTTAAAAACCAGCACTGACATAGTGACAGCCAGTGAGGGAGCCTCTCTTTATACGCTGCTCTTCTCCTGCCTCTCAGACCCCCCCCCTCTCACATCTGAGGTACACACAGTCTCCTGTATCGGCTAAATGCCGATAGGGCTATTTTCGGCCAATATGTTTCGGTGGGTGAAATTTCAGTGCATCCCCATCTTCAAGCTTAAGAAAAGGGATTATTACAGTATATATAAAAGCCTAAACTGCTCTGTCAACTGCACCAATGGAGATATGAGGACTGAATTGCTCAGATGCTTTGGTTATTTAACTATGCATAGTTCTGTTATCACTGAATATAAATATCGTAAATATCACTGAGGTGTGCAATCATTTTCCCCACCAAATACTTCAGCAGTTGTGAAAATACAATGTTATAGGCACTTTCTAATACAATTATACCCATACAGGCACCATACCGTTTCTTCTATAAGGATGCACCGATGCAGGCTTTTGATCTGTGAATACGAGTACTGAAACTTTTTGTCAAGTACTCACCGATACAGATACTTTGCAGTGCAAATTCAGTCAATACATAATGCATGGGTGCAAATTGCAATGCCAAGAATAGTATGCGATTTTAACAGGAATGAGATTGTTGTCCAAATCACATGCAGTTTCCCCACTACTCCTGTGTGAAAGCCCGAGTTTACACACAGCGGAGAGTGGGTGAGTGTGGACGTATACTACGGTGGCAGATGCTCCATATTCTCAGCTGTAGGAGAGAAAAGGGCGGGGACTTGATATCCCCGCTGCTTTCTCTCCTCTCCTTGCAGGGATGACAGTTTGGGCTAGATGGCATCTGATTGGTCAGCACCAACCATGTGACGGTCCTGCCCAATCAAAAGCCCTCCAGCCCGAACTGTCATCCTTACAAGGAGAGGAGAGAAAGCCCCAGGGATTTAAAATCCCCACTGCTTTCTCTCCTACCGCTGAGAATATGGAGCATCTGCCTGCATAGCATACACCAACTCTCTCCTCAACATGGGATCCCTGCAGGGAAACCTAGAAATCACATTCCCGTTCAAATCGCTAATCTTTGCGGTTTGCGTCAATGCAAATTACACTACAAAGTGTCAGTAGCAAGAGGCTTTTCATGAGTACTCGTGGGAAAAATAAATAAATCGATATTGGCGCATCCCTAATTTTTTCGTTTCAGAAATGCTTTCTTACCTTTTTTACAAGGGTAAAAAGTTCCGTCGTGAATATGCATCTCTTCTTCCTGATAGGGGGTGGGGGGGGGGGGGGGGGGGTCGGGTCTCAAGACACTGCATAGACACAGTGTGCCTGTATACCACAGTCTGTTCAGCCTGAGGTACGATGCAGGCTGTACTGGAGCAAAGAATGTGTTGAAGGAGGTAGGTTATGATTGGAATAGGGTGTGCGCCAGTGTCAGGTTGTGATTAGTCAGGAAGTGTGGTTGAACATACACAGCATGTCTGCATTGGGTAGTGTCTGCACAATATCCTGTACCTTTAAATGGCCAAAGGATGCAAACTGACCATACAAGCAAAATCAGCCTGTGTTTTATGTACTCAGTTCAGAACAAGGAAGAAAGGTGACTGGCAGGATCAACCAGTTAGTTCAGATGGAATAACACAGAGCAAAAAAAAGACACACACACACTTTTTAAATGCGAACACACACTAAGTGTTTTAAGCAAGTGCTAACCAGTGCAAAAATCCCTGAATTGACTGCATTCTAATTACCACAAAAATAAAATATATAATGTACATTCCATATATTCAGGTGATAATTTTGTAGACTGAAAATTTGCGTTTCAACATTAAAAATCACACACATACACAGTAGTAAAAATAGTGCATGTGTTTTGTTTTAATGATTTTGGAAAGGAGGGTAAACAATAGAAATTGCAAAAAAGCCATTTATGCCTAAAGCTACACTCCAGGAACACAACTCATTTTAATACATTCCTCAGCAGACAAAGAGGGTATAATTCCACTTCATATTCACCAAAAGCCTTTACAAACCCACATATTACCTTGTAAAGCAGCAGTGACATCATCACTGTCCTGCGAGTAGAATTGAGGGCAGGGCCCAGCAGGCTTCACCCACTAGAGGCTGCCTACAGACTACTATAGGAGGGGGCAGACTAGTCACCCTACACAAAGCGAGGTGGCAGCAGGGACCAGTCTCTATTACAGGAAAATCCTGCACAGAGGCAAAGTTTCACAATGCATTACTGCACAAAGGAAAAGGATGGAATATCTAAAGCACACCAAGATTCCAGTAGGAACACACATGCCTCTTGTATTCGCAAAATATCAGCTTCACAGAATTTGCACCACTGCTTAAAACTATTACACGTGCACACATCAGATTTCACCTGTGCACTGAAAATAAATGTACAAGGGGAAGGCTTGTCGGATGGGCAGATTCCCCGCTTGCAGTCAGGAAAGGACTGCGCAGTTTTTACTACTAGACTTTATCTGCACAAAGCTCGCTGGGTTTCAATGAAAGCATATCGCCACCACACTACCCAAGGATATTCCAAATAAAGTACAATCTATAATAGTTGGGTGACCATGTTCTAGGCACAAGTAGTTGGGACAACAGTGATCCAACTTTAAAAGGCTGTCAGTACGCGGTGCATTCCAGTCAGTACAATATTTAGTTTAAGATATTTCATGCCGAATGTGAAACTTCTTTCCGGAAAGATTAAAAGATAAATATGAAAATCTTGAAATACAAGTGAGGATTTACATCACTAAGCTCAGATCTGAATAGCTAGAATTAGACCCAACTCAGGTTTTACAGTCTGACATTATGGATTTGGGTATTACGTAGAATGGGGTGCTAAAAACCAGAAGACGTGCTCATTCTGTGTGAGGAACAAGTTGCACTTTCAAATTAAAATGTTTGTATATTTTACACGAGTATTGAAATCCCATTCTATGCAGGCCCTGCTGAGGACCGCTGGCAGTAGAAACTATTCGGTGCTACACATTCAGGAAACTCAAACATTAATGTTGACAAAGCCAGATTAGGTAAAACTACTCACCTGGGATTTGGGTGGTGGGGACTTCTTCTCAATTTTTACCTTGACCTTTTCCTTGGGCTTGGCGTCTTTGCTGGCGCTAAGTGATTTCATTGTTTCCGCAGCATGTTTAAGTATACAGTCATGGCTGCAATACACAGAGTCACGAAGGGCAAGGTTCGAACAGCCTGGTCCGATGCACTTGGCCACATCCTGAGACTGCGATGGCTCAGAAGAAGTAGTGGAAACCTCAGAGACCGCGGTAGTTTCACAGACCTCTGTGGACATCTCAGCAAAGTCCGGAATCTCCACCTATAACACAGGAGGATACAAGGCCCTCAGAAGAAAGGAAAAGCTGCTGCTCATGTCTTTTCTGTTACAAGCGTTCATTATACCAGCAACCGTGACACTGCACTCACTAGCTATATCAGAGGTATATTGTTTGAGGAGTAAAATCTTTGAGAAAACAAAAAAAAACCCAAAAAAAACCAAAACAAAAACCCCACAAAAAAAAGGCACGGTTCCCTTTCAGTAAGGGAAACAGTCAAATGAATTGCATTATCATATAACCCCTGAAAAGACAAAACAAAGCCAGCAACTCTGTGCGTTTCATTTTGGCTACAACAAAACTGCATTCAATATGGGGGCCAAAACATTTTCATTTATATTCTTCGCTAAATCATTTTATGACTCCTACTGCTGCATGAAATCAAGTGATGTGATCTGAACATGTAATGTATGACTTTTACCCCAACCTTTGACAGCAAAGTATCAAAAGTGGATCTTTCACCCCTCTTTAACCACATGAATACTGGGCACTTATAGGAGGGTATATGTTCCAGTCGAGGCCAATTTTCAGCTTTCAGCGCTGTTGCATTTTGAACAATTGCACGGTCATGCAACACTATACTCATATGAAATGTTTTTCACACACAGGGCTGTCTTTTGGTGGTATTTAAATTGTCACTGATAGGCAGCACTGATGAGGTGGAACGGATAGGAACTGATGGGCTGCAGTGATGAGGTGGAACGGATAGGAACTGATGGGCTGCAGTGATGAGGTGGCACTGGTGGGCAATGATGAGGAGGCACTGATGATGCTGAACGGATATGCAGCAATGATGGTCACTGATAGGTGGCACTGCAGGGCACTGTTCATCATTGCTGATCACCTCTGCTACAGCTGCTGGTTATTGGCAGTACTTCCCTCATGCTGTGACAGTGTGATGAAAGCGCTGCTGTTAACCGGCAACTGTATTTACTGTGTCAGCTGATCACGTGGTAAAAGGATGCTGTGATTGGCCTTTTACATTATCACGTGATCGGCTGTGTCTGTAGGACACAGCGATTATGGAGATCGCTGGGGGCACGCGGGAGGGCGCGTTCTGGGAGGATGTCATACGGACGCCCTCCCAGAACTGGGCGACAGTGCTGTAGCCATCATTCGGCTATAGAACGGTTACCAAGTTTAAATAAAGGGGGTCAAGTAAAGATGACCCTCTACTTCTTCCAACAAAGATTAATAGATTTTAAAGAGGTCAGGTATGAGGTCTGCTCTAACCCTGTGAACCTCTAGATTTTTAGAACGTTGCCAAAACACAATCAGAGGGTACACAAGAGGAAATAAAGATTGGATTAGCGTTGACCTCATCTCAATGCCTCCAATACTGCGAAGGCACCGAGCACTAACGGGAATGATGCAGGAGACATGGCATACTGTAAAACCATCCCCAAAATATAGTACAATTTTGTTTGTAGGGGGAAGGTACACTATTTTTCTTCAAAACTGCAATATGAAGACTGGGAAAACTTGATGAGCCAACATGCAAGAATTACAGCGATGAAAACGGGATTGTTAAAATGTGCAGTCGCATATATAACACTTACAGGATGAAATATTTTCAGTTTTTTCTTGCCAGTTGGATGTGTAGCCTTCTCAATTCTACCCTTGATCCCCTGATCAGGTGCGCTCTGCTCCATAGAGGACATGGCGTTGGCTCCAGAATGAAGCATGATATTGGCTGTCATTGACTGTTCCTTCTTGTTAATGTCTGAATTACCATCTTCATGCCCTTGTGGGACAGTACAGTTAGGGCAAATATAATCCTCCCCATCTCTTTCTAGTAGCTGGCCACGCCTTTCAGTAATGCCAACACAATCACCATGAAACCATTCTTCACATCTGTCACAGCAGATCATAAACCTAAAAAAGACAAACACTTATGTGACACTAGAATATTTGAATTGCTGTAGCATGCAGCTAGTTAGTTTGAATGCTCTAAACATTACATTTTCCTTTCTGGAGACCTATTCTGCCCAACTTTGGTTAATAAACCCCCTCATTACAAAGATTTGTATTCAATGTATCAATATAAATAGCTTTTAGAACTAAACATTTTCATTTTAGGAGAAGAGTGGTCCCCAGATAGGAGTCTGCACACGGCAGTTAACATCTCCTAGATTGTAAGCTCGAAAGAGCAGGGCCCTCGAACCCCTTGTTTAGTGTATTGTTTCTGTCTTGTCTCATGTTCTGTCCCCCTCACTACTGTACAGCGCTGAGCATACCCATTGGCGCTATATAAACACTGTACAATAATAATAAAATAATAATTTCTGGCTTGACTTTGACCTATAAAACAGCTCCATTAAAATGGAAGTCTAGAAGTTTGACCACAGAGATCCCCTCACCCCAATCTCGGTACATATTACACAAAGCTGGCATTCTGTCTAGATCAGGCACTACAACTCCGTCTCGAGTTAAACTGGATATACACTACTAGATTTTCTGAAAGAAAACATTCAGTGTTAGAAATTTAGTCGAGAAATATGTTCCATGCTGCGCCTTCAAATTTTCGCACCATTGTGGTCGAAAACAAACGCCAGTCTAACCCTACCAAACGGAAATAGAATGTTATTGAAAGGAAAATTTTTTTAAATGACATTCTACTAGTGTATAGCCAGCATAGCTTATTAACATGATCTGTATTAAAGCCACACAGACAAAGGTCTCCTGACACATGATCACCTCTACCCCTGCCTACAGAGGGTGACTGGGCAAAGGATTTTTAGAGCAAATCTCATCCCACTTTAGTGGGACAAAGTTAACCCATACCAACTGATCATCCATCAGAATGGAAGGAACACGTAAATTTAAAGTAGAAATCTGGTCAAAATCTAGTTCACCTTTCTGAACATTTTACACTAGTATTTAGGATGTAACATGTTCAGCATACGTCCCCTCTCCCTGTGACGGTGGGCTGGGGATCACCCTGCATCCCCTGACACAATTAGAGAACAGTGCGGCCGGGAATAGGACTACAAGTACCGTCAACCACTGCAGCCGACAGCTTGCAATGCTCAATGAACTGCAAGGGCACCGATGAGCGCTCCCACAGATGAGCGCTCCCACAGTTAATTCATCTTCTTGCTCTCAACTAACTGCATCAGAGGTATCTGCTGATTTGTTAAAGGCTCCTTAGAAAAAAAATGAAGTCAACTTAATCCCAAAGTTCTATACTACCAAAGGAAAGATGCTTATACTGACCTAATCTAAGGTTGCTCTGGTCTGGTCCATTGATCTTCCCAGTGGCCAGCCTCAGTATAGAGAAGAAAGCAGCAACAACAGCTGAAGAACCTGGATGGTGACATCACCCGTAGACTTATGCAGGCCATAGACTGTTCGTTTATCAGCCGATTTTTTTGTCCGAAAAAACGAAAAATCGGTCGTATTGTTGCCACCAATGATAGCGAAAATTGGCCGTTTTTTTTTCACAAATTTTCCAGCATGACCGATAAAAGAAATGAGGAGGAACCGCAAAAAAATCGGCAGATGCCATTGCCCCACTAACAGTGCGAAAATCGGACGATTATCTTTCGGACAAAAATCGGCCAATAAACCGTCTATGGCCTGCATTACTATGGGTCATCCATGACGGCTGTCCCTCTACACTAAAATTGGCACTGGGACCCAATCATGTAACCAGACTGAAGCGCCCTTAGATTAGGTAAGTATACACATTTTTCCTTTATGGGACTTAGAGGGTGGGATGAAGTAGACTTCTACTTTAAAGGGAACACTGGTTTTTAATGCATGCGCCTAGGATGTCTCTACTGAACCATTCTTTACACAGGTGCCTTGACTTATTCAATATTGTTTATATCTTACCTGTTGTTGTGAGGCTGTCGGCAGATGCAATACAATGTGTTAGGGTCGTAGATCTCAGCCTCTGGTCGCCTTCTTGTGGATACCTTTCGTACTGGTTTCTCCTCTTCTGTATTATCCTGGCTCTGGGGTTCCTGCTTTACAACAGCAGCTAGCTGCTGAAGCAAAGCTGCTCGATTAGCGCTCCTAGTACGGACAGAACCCTCTACAAGTGGTATTTGAACAGTCTGAACTGGAATAGTCTCAGGCAAAGGATCAGAGCGTCTACTTCTCAGTCTAGTTTGGATCTCCTTCAGAGTCATGCCATCACTATCTGAGCTATCATCCTCTTCCTTCTTAACCTCACTTTTGGGTTTTGGGTCAGTCTTAACATCAGTTGTGCTTTCCACACTACCTTCTGATGCCGTTTCAACATCTGTCACTGGACACGACCTATCACTAGACTCTTCCAGAGCATTAATCTTCCTGCCCCTGTTCCTCCTGACTGCTGTCAGGAACTCCTCCACTCTCTCTGTGCGCTTTGGTTGCCTCCCGCTGCGTCGGAGCGAAGGAGTGGACTGGGAGGATTCGGAAGCATCCATATCCACGTCACTAATCTGCTCACGCTTGGCAATTGTTGTCTTGCGAAAACCCCAAGTTTTCCTAAACTCTTTACTTGTTGGCTTAATAGTTTTCAGTATTTCATCATTAACTTGATCTTTGTCATCCACAACAGACGCTAATATAAGAAAAAGGTAAAATACAAGGAGGAAATGTTTAGTAACATAAGCTACTTCGTTATGAAAAAAAAAAAATTCATAAAGATCAGACATAAAAGACTGACAACCATACAGGAGCAATCATTTTATTAGTACTGATGTTCCGGGGGTGTCCCAGCCAAGCGGTGTATCTATGGACACACAGCATGGCTCAGGATTGAGGCAGCTCGAGTGCCCACATAACAATGGAGGTACGGGGGGGGGGGGAGCCAAAGAGCATCGGTGTGTGAGACCCCAGAAGAGAAAGATTGGGGCTACTCTGCAAAGTGCAATTGCACAGAGCAAGGATGTTAAAAACAAATAAAATAAAAGTTTATAATCTCTTTAACTGTTTCCAGACCGCCCTATAGCAGAAGTACTGCTAAATCACATGCATATACACACACAAAAATATATATTTTTTTTTTATATTAATAATATATAAACACACATACATATATATATTACACATACACACACACACACACACACACACACATATATTACACACACACAATTTTGTATTTCCGGTTAGGGGGCACATGCTCCCTCACTGCGCCGTTATTGGCTCCTCGGCATGTCCATCACTCGGTCCCTGCCACCAATTCTCTATAATCAGCGGAGCCGATGGGCAGAGGTCTATACTTAAACAATACAGATCTCTCCTGTCAGCAGGAAGAGGCTGCTTTTTATTGCTCTGCAAAGCAGCTTGTGTACACAGTAAAACAGTTACCCCTTTGAGCGCCCCAGATGTTAACCCCTTCCTGCCCAGTGTCAGTGCTTTTTATTGGCTCATCAATGTATTAGTGTCACTGGGAATGTCAGTGGCAGTTAGTTCCCCCCAGTGTCAGAATGCCCGCCGAAGTCCCACAATAAGTCGCTGATCGCCGCCATTACTAGTAAAAAAAAAAATAAATAAATACAAATTCCAGTATATATACCGCCATTTGTAGATGCTATAAAGTTTCACAAGACATGGAGCAGAATACATTTTGGTCTAAATTTATGATGAAATTCTATTAAAATTTTTTAATTGGAAATGTTTAAAGAGCAAAAATATATAAATACAAACCGCACAGATGATGAAATAACACCGCAAGAAAGCACCACTTGTGGTAAAAAGGACAAATGTAATTTATGTACAATGCCAGTAATTTATGCAGAATTGTCAGTTAAAGTAACGCAGTGCCGTATCGCACAAAAATGGCCTGGTCAGGAGGGGGGGGGGGGGGGGGGGGGGGGGGGGGGGGAATCCTCTGGAGGACAAATGGTTAAACAGCTGACAAAAATATCTGTATAGCTACTAAATGTGCACCAAAGCCTAAACATGCCCCTGCAGCAGTAAATATTCATTCTTAATACAGTAACCGTATTTCATCAAAATAAACTGTCACAAACGGGGGATAGGACTGTTCAAAAGGAACAGTAACAGCATTTTTCCCAGTATGCCATCAAATTCCACATTAATGTGAAATATCAAGGGCAAGTGAATAAAAGGTTTTGAATTCTGCAAAATGTTATGGTCCAATTTATGATCACGGTGTGTGCTGTCCTAGTAAAACCACCTACAAGACTTGATACTGGTCGCAGTAGCTCTACAAAATGTAAAACCGTCCATTCACTTTAGTAGGGAGTATAAAACAGGAAATTAAACATTTTTGATGGCATGCCAGAAGGACATCTTTACTGATCGACTTGACAATTGCAGCAACAATAAGACTGAATTCATTTCTGGTTAAAGCACAAGGAAATGCTTATGGCCAAGTAGGCACAACTACAACAGAAGTCTGCAAAGCAACAGACTAGCCCCGGATGTTTGGTTCTCCGAAGGTCAGTAGAAGAAAATTTAGCAATTTTAATGTAGAGTTTTCCCACATTCCACCAGATGTATCAAGGTACATGTGCTAAACCAGGACTTGACAAATTTACTTTAACCCAGGAGCCAGCTAAAACCATTAGGAGCCTTGTGGGGGGGGGGGGGGGGGGGGGGGTGATATAGCATGAGAGGTGGGGGCAGCGTCACAGGAGGGGGGCAGCGGGACAGGAGGGGGGCAGCGTCACAGGAGGGGGGGCAGGTCACAGGAGGGGGGCAGCGTCACAGGAGGGGGGCAGCGTCACAGGAGGGGGGCAGCGTCACAGGAGGGGGGCAGCGTCACAGGAGGGGGGGCAGCGTCACAGGAGGGGGGGCAGGCAGGAGGGGGGGCAGGTCACAGGAGGGGGGCAGCGTCACAGGAGGGGGGCAGTGGGACAGGAGGGGGGCAGCGGGACAGGAGAAAGGCAGTGTCACAGGAAGGGGCAGCGGGACAGGAGAAAGGCAGTGTCACAGGAAGGGGGGCAGCGGGACAGGAGAAAGGCAGTGTCACAGGAAGGGGGGCAGCGGGACAGGAGAAAGGCAGTGTCACAGGAGGGGGGCAGGACAGGTGTGGGGCAGCAAGCCAGGAGAGGAGGGTAGGACAGCTCTCACCTGTCCAGGAGTGGCTCCTCCAGATGTCTGCCTGGTTGTTGTGGTTGGTTTGGGGGGAGAGGAGCTGGAAGTGGGGCTGTCTCCTGTCACACAGGTTGTGGGACTTGGTGACCCTGGGGACTCCAGTCCTCTGGTAGGGAGCGCCACATTGACTGGCTCCGTGGTGTGGATGCGGCGGGGACACGTCTTCTGCTCAACGGACAGGGGGGGCGGTGGTATTGGGTCTAGTGGGGCTGAGCAGAACTCTGTGCTTCGCCTGGACTCTTAATATGGAGGGATAGGAGAGACTCTGGGGGTCCCAGAATGCTGGTTTCTACTGTGGGGCTGGGGAGAACAGGGCAGTCTGGGCTGGCAGGGGCCCAAGTGTCAGGACGCGGCTTCAGGTCACTATGGCAACCTGGCGCCTAGGAATTGTCAAGCCCTGTTCTAAGCAAAACATCAGGATTGGATTTATACCAATGGTGTAACCTTTTCACAAAACAAAGCCAACGTAATAGGACATACTGGGGCACCTACATTATAATGTAAATGAACCTACTGTCATGCTACAGATTCCCACAATACATGACTGGTACCATCATTTAGAAACTCAACTTGATCCTGAAAGAACTCACACACATTAAGACATTCCTCATGTTGATGAGCAAAATGAAACACATGCATAAAAGGTTCAGTAGTATACATAAAGGGGGCAATACGCACTGGGTTCAATTTTTTGCAAATGTGCAAAAGGTGACAATTTATGTGGGACATCCTGGGTGTACACCCGTCACAAAAGCTACACAATGAGGGACAGTTATCAAGCAAAGTGGGAAATTTATAAGCAAATCAGCTGCCTGTCAGTGCAATTTGTCCTTCATAAAACACGTACACCTCCCTCAACGTTTTACAGTTTCAAAACTTTAAGAAGCCAACTGTACTATATGTAAATCAGACCATGTGATTGAGGAGCCATACAGACTAATCATGCATCCCATTCACTCAACTCAAATGTACTCCAGGCCAGCAGGTCCTGTTGTCTATCCTCCATAAAGGGGTACACCTTCGTCCCACTTTTCCGTCATGTATTTACAATTGAAAGGAAAAGCAGCAAAGAGCAGGCGATATATATTGATAGATATAGGAACTGCCTACAAGCTCTTTAAACCCCTTGCACAGGAGAGGTGCAAATAAAAAAAATATGATCTTCACTCCATAGAACCTCAAAAAGGTCTTGCCGTTACTCCTCCATAAAATGGATTACACCACAGTTTACAGTACACGAAGACTTATGGACCTAACAGCAATGTTTCTAATTTGCACAGGTCCACAACAGATTTGCCAAGTGAGATGAGAAAGATTTTCATCATGCGGAGCCTTAAAAACAAACTCAAAATTAAGTGGTCAAAGACAGGTTTCTGGTTTGTAAAAGCTGAACGCACATTATACCATTTTCTTATTCAATTTCTTTTAGATTCATCTTCAACTATGGGGTGCAAGGGCCTGCCTGATTGCATACAAATTGAAAGTGGTCTGACCTAGTTTTATATGGCTTTGGTAAATCTACAATAAAATTGTATAATGTATGGCCAGCCTTACAGTTTGACTGTAGAGCACCTAAATTTGGAAAAATGATGACTGAAGCTATCAAGTACAACAAACCTGTCACACTGCTATGGATTAACATTGCCCCGATGTGTGCCAGACTGTTCAAAAAAAAAAAAAAATTAAAAAGTGTGTGTAGCAACTGAAGGAAACCCTAAAAACCCTTTCCTTGCAGTGGGGCCATGATCTATTCTCTTCCTTGCAAACAGACACTCCCCTGTCCAATGGTAGTGGGCTGCTCCTCGCCATCCTCAGGTCCAATGCAGAGGACCTTAGACTGCCAGACAGCAGAGGAAGAGGATGAAAGGAAAGGTCAGCTGCACAAATGAACCTGCAGGACTGGATAAGCAAAACTGCCTTACCAAGTCCCAGGGACCTGAAACGAGCAGTTAAAATTAAGAGAAAATTATGAACAAGCAGTCTATTGCAGAAGAGACTTGCAAGTTAGTTTCTGCAATAAAGTACACAAAACTGCCTATTTAAGACCCTTGGTGGAATGTACACAAAACTGCCAGTATATGCTGGGATAATCAAGTGACATCATCCCATGGTGGCCAATCAAAATGGCTGAAGACTGGCACCCAGAACAAGAGGAGAATACGCCTTTGAGGAACATCATGAGCATTGGACTGTTGGAATCAAGGCAAGTATGTGTGCCTTTAGTTCTACTTTAACCTCACAGTCCAGATGCTGCCCCACTGCAAGGGGGACGTTTTAGGTTTTCCAAAGCTCAGCCCCCAGCAGGACAAAGATAAAGGCTAAGCTCACCTTCGAAACTAAAAACGCACTTTTTTTGTAGAAGAAACCACATGCAAGTGTAAGCCATCTTCTCATATCTTGAGCAGACAGGCAATTACTGATTGACAGTGTTCCATTGAGGCCTAAAAGCAGTCAACCACAAAGGCTATTGGTACTTGTAGTTCATTCACTCAGAACTCTGAATGACTCTGAAAAGACTAGAAGGAGGAAATCCATCCTGGATAGGACGTATAAACTTAGTCAAAATGGTAATTATGCCTAAAATACTGTATAGATTTCAAATGGTACCAATTAAAATTCCAGAAGCCTTCTTTAAGATAATGAAAAAAAAATGTTAACAAGATACATATGGAAGAATAAAAAACCTAGAATAGCATATGAAACATTGAGTAGGACTAAAGAGAAAGGGGGATTGGGTCTACCAGATGTCAAGAGATACTATAAAGCAGTGGTCTTTAGCAAGAATATATGACTGGACATTTAACCATAAGGGGAAAAGCTGGGTAACAATTGAGAATGATCTTAGTGGCATTAGATTGAGTCAGATGATATGGGTTCCACCACAGTTTAGGGGAATTAAAGAAAGTACAAGTATCTACACTTTAAATGTCTTTAGGGTATGGGACAATTTACACAAAAAACATGAAATGGGAATTCAATTCTATATTAATGCCTCTCACAAATACTGAGTACTTTCCCCCGGGGAAAGAAATAAGATATCAGGGAGATGGTTTAGAAAAGGAGGATACCCAACTGAGAGATAATGTTTTGGTGGAGGGGAAATTTGAGATCACTTAAAGATTTTAATAGAGAAGAAGGGAGATATTTTTATTAGAATAGATGAGAGTGGAAATATCATCAATTGAAATGTTTTATTGGTAAATTTTTACCGAAAACCCCTGAGAATAAAACAGGAGTGGAATATGTTTGAAAAGTTGTTGAGACACGAAAGGATGGGAAACACGGTATTTCAAAAGTGTATAGAATACTCATAGAATTAGACACAAACTCCACAAAGTTAAAGTTTTTATAACAAAATGGAAAGAGATATGGGAGTTGAGTTTGACGCAGATAGACAGAGAAAGTTGTTTAGATTGATACCACGATAATATTAGTACGAGGGAGGTTGAGGTTAATTAAAGTGTGTGACACGATGGCACATTACACCGAGTGTAGAACACAAGATGAACGGGGAAAATTCAAATATGTGTTGGAGAGGATGTGGAGAGATCGGTGAACACGGTGTTTCACATATGGTGGGAATGCCCGAAGATCCAGGCTTTTTGGAGGATAAATAGTCAAATTGATTAAAGAAATAACTGAAAGTTGACATAGGGTTAGACCCAACGACGTGCCTCCTACACAATGTGGAGATATGATCTGTGAAAATAACATATAAAGATTCAGGTATATGGTCTTTCTTGAATGCTGCGAAAGGGTTGATACCCAAGTTTTGGCGGAAATCGGAGGTACCGAAGGAGGAAGACTGGATTAATAGAGTAAATCAGATAGGTAGAATGGAAAGATCATACCATATGCAGGAAGATATAGTTTGAGAGTTTATTCTAGGAGGTGGGAAAAGTGGAAAGAGCAAGATTAAAAGAGAAATATTAGGAAAATATAAACTAACATGTTAGCAAAGCCTCAAGAGATTAGAATGGGCTAGAGTTTGCAGAGGGGGAGGGAGGGGGGATGAGGGGTGGGAAGGAGGGGTTTGGGATGGGGAAGAAAAGAGTTTTTTTATAGTAAGGGAAAGGGTAGAAAAACGTCAACATTTGTATAAGAATTTTTTTTTTTTTTCCCTTTGGGTTTTGTGTATTAATATGAAAAAATTTAATAAAATATTTAAATTTAAAAAAAAAAAACTCTGAATGACGCAGCTGTGTGGGCAGAGCCCAGCACGACCACGCTCTTTTCAAATGACAACAGGTGAAGGGAGATCCCTGGCCCGCTTTCACAGGAAGGGGGGGCAGGGGGATGCAGGAGTGGGAGCAAAGGACGCAAAAACACAGGTGGAACATGTAACTTTCTCGAAAGTGAACTTATCCTTTAAAAATGGTGTCAAAAAATGTCAAGAATGAAAAACACCTCAGATGAAGTTTCCTTGAGCATCTGGGGACATTACCATGCCTAACCACTGCCTTCTGGGTGATCACAGGATGTTAAGCACCCAGTTTTTCCTGGGAGGCAGGGATGAGGCACACTCATATGTTTTATTTCCCCTAATGCAGTTTAACTGGCACCATTTTTAAAGGACCCGGTCACACTGGATTTGAATGCATTTTTTCCCCAATGCATTCCAAATGCACACACAGAAAAAAGCAACGTTTTCCAACAAGACTAGTTCACATCACTGCGTTGAAGTGTGCTGAAAACAAAAGTACTACCGGCTGCAATTTTACACAACCCTGGAAAAAAAAAAAATGCAAAAAAAGCCAATTTTAAAACACAATTCATTGCTTAGAAAAAAAAACAAAACAATACGATGCAACATAAAAAATACATGCTAACAAAAACGCAAATGTGGGGATTGTGGTGTGAATGGGCACTAAAATGTATTGTTGCAAAGGTCAGTTTTGTATGGAATAATAAAGAAAAAAAAAACTATACTATTTTTTTTATTCCTCAAGTATGCAGAAAAAACAAAACAAAAAAAAACTAAACAGTGCTCAATGGTCTAAGATTTAAGTAGATTATGGAAATGATTATCCTTTGTGCCCCAGGTCTTGTCACTAGTTACACCCAAGCACTATTGTAATACAAAACCGGGTGTAAACAAGGACAATGTCCATCTCTTTCATTGCTTTGTTGCCATGATGCAGCCCTACATAACAGGACATTGACATTCCTTACAAACACTACAAAACAGACATGGGTGGACAAATTCATTAACATTGCAGGAGCCAGTCTGACCAGTCTGGTAGCTGCAAGACTAATTTTAGGGACTTTTCCAGAAATAAAGAGTTGGCCTCTGTTTTAGATCACACAAAAGGGTGTCCAGGACAGACACAAACATCTTTCATTTGTCACAAATTATAGGATTGCCACTTCCAAACAAAGAGGGAGCATTGCAGCAGCTGAGGTTCAACCGAACACTCTTATGGGCAATTTGCAAAATGTTGGGAATTTTTTTTAGGTTTTATTTTAAAAAGGTACACTGACTACCTGGTTTCAGTTATTTGTCCAGCCCTGCCAAACCTAAAATTATTAAAATCGACACTTAGTAATCTTAATGATCCTATAAAAGTACATAAACTATCATACCAGGAGAACTGCTCTCCAAGCTTTCAAGGTTGAGTTCAGTTTCAAATGCCACGGAAGAAGAGAGAGCACTTGGCACTTCCTCCATTGCAGGTGATGCTTTTGCTCCCCACACTGCAATTCTGAAAATAAATATGCAGGTTTGTAAGAGCAGCAGTAGCCAAACCTTACCGAGCAAGCGTCAAGCCAACAGCTGCAGGAGTGCGTGCAGAGTGTGTCTGACTGTACACGGAAGGAGGACTGCACTTAGCATGGAATTGGTCCTTCCCATCTACCTTCAGATTGATACATTTAGGAACTGATCATTCGGGGAAAAAAAAAAAAAAAACAAAAAAAAAAACCTGGACTCCCAGGTAACTTTGCTTCACCCACCAAGCATATCGATCAATCAGTACATAATAGACGTCTACCCAAATTTACCTCGCAGCTGTAGTTCAACTTTCCAACTTAAATTTGAGACACTGCTCCACCAAGATCTGACATCATAAGTAGGCAAGCTTCACTGCTAATTTGCCATCGCGATTGAATGGTCAGCTATAAATTGCTTTAAGGCCTCGTTTACGCCTGAAGCAAGGACTGCCTCTATTCTGAAAAGCGATTTGTGCTCAAATCACTTTTCATGTGTTTGACAGGTGGTGAGGACCTGTTTTAACCCCCTAAATCAGTGTTTCTCAACTCCAGTCCTCATGGACCCCCAACAGGTCATGTTTTCAGGATTTCCATTATTTTGCACAGGTGATTTGATCAGTTTTCACTGCCTTAGTAATTACCACACAGCTGTTTCATCTGAGGGAAATCCTGAAAACATGTCCTGTTGTGGGTCCATGAGGACTGGAGTTGAGAAACACTGCCCTAAATACAGCAATACAGCTTCACAGACACACGGACTGCATACGGTTGTAACAGCCCCATTTCTCGGGTGGTAGTGCCCAAACACAACAGGGGGTTTATTCCTTGCCGTGGCTGCAATGCTTTGCACGTGTACACATCTGGCCAATGCCCTTGCAGCTAACTGGGAGGTGCAACAATGCAGCTCTACCACATGGTTTTGCAGCTTCGGGGGGGGGAAGCTGCAAAACCATGTGGTAGAGCTGCCATCTGAGCACCAACAGCCATACAAAATCAGGACTGTTTTGAAACATTAGGTCTGCTTTAGAGCCCATCCATACAACATGGACTGTCTTGCATTGAGTTAAGCAGCCCATTCAAATTGATAAAGCCAAAACACACAGCGATGCATGTGGAAATTGGGCATGCTGCATTTTATTACACTACAGAGGAAAGCACACGGTGTGGTCCCTTTGGAACAGGAAGTGAAAGGAAACCCACAGAATAGGACACAAGCTATGGGATGTCCCCCTTCCCTGTTGCCATGGCCTGGGTGACTTATAGGGCTGCTGGAGACGATGATGCTATTAGCAAGCCATGGCTGAAAACAAGGTCTCCTATATTTGTAAATATATAAACTTCATGAGGGTGGCAAGATGGCTGGGTAAGGCTAGTTCAAAAACTGTTTAGTTACCTTTTAACTTAAAATGTTTTTTAAATATATATGTATCAAAATAGCAGGTTTTGTGAGCAACACAACCAAAAACAAACCAAAAGAATCTACAACAGCCAAGTCTGTGACTTGTTTTGAAAGGAAATGGATTTCTGTGATTTTTGGATTAAATTATCTGGTCCTCAAAAGCAAATAATTTAGTGGAGGGGATGCTTTCTTCATGACCAGAAATGGAGATACAGTCAAACACAAATGCACTTCTCCTGTATAACACAGATATTTGCCTCTGCATAAAGTAAAACAAAGCCAGCAAACAACGGACATACTAAACAAATGCACACAAAATGTTACCTGTGTTGCTAGCCTTGATCCATCCTTCAAGCACAAATGTGGAGTCTCCTAAAGAACTGCAGATGTTTCTCAATCCAACTCTCAAACTGGAATGGTGAGTCCAGGAAACCTCATGCTTTTTCAATCAATTCGGGAAATGACAACACCCCTTCTGGGAGTGGCCCTGGAATGAACAAAAAGAAAAGCACTTAAAAGGAATGCCCAGTATCCATTTAACAAATGCCCAGTATCCATTTAACAGGAATGCCCAGTATCCATTAAATAATGTATGTAATTTTGGCCAGGATAAAGAAATCTGTTAACCATTTCATTAGTCAGGTAATAAAAGTAACATTTTGTATATGAGTTTTATATAAACCCACCAACCCTACAAAGTCTAGTGACAGCTTGAGGAGGCGGCACATCCTGCACATGTATAGGGCAAACATGGCTACAGCAACCTACATTTTAGGCCTCATTCACACAGCAGATTAGGGCCATAGTGCAGCAAGTATCAGGGTAAATCTGCCCCCGGGTCCACTTGTGTGTAAACAGCTACAACCAGGAGGCCTGTTCATATTGACAGCTTCCATAGCCATTCGCCTTTAACAATTTGTATGCTTTTTAGGACAGATGAGCAGCCCTAGACGCAAGGGGGTTTATTTACTAAAGCTGGAGAGTCCAAAATCAGACTCCCTTCTGCATAGAAACCAATCAGCTTCTAACCTCAGCTTGTTCAATGAAGCTTTGGCAATGAAACCTGGAAGCTGATTGGTTTCTATGCAGAAGGGAGTCTGATTCTGGACTCTCCAGCTTTAGTAAATAAACCCCCAACTGTCTGCATCCAGGGTCGGCTCTTCTGCCCCTAATTACATGTGGTTGCATGTGAACGGTCGCAGAGCTGGTCATCAATCAGTACAAGCTTTGTGGCCATGGCTGACTGCATACACCTGTGGTCCCTGCCACAGATTTACGCCGATACTTGCCGCACCATGGCCCTAATCAGCTATTCAATGAAGCCCAACAACTGTAAATTACATTCAGCTGGGCACTGTAGTGTGCTGCAGTGCAGGTGCTATTCATGTTACTTCGACGCAATAATGCGATTAAAAAAAACAGCACTTGAAGATGTTAAATTTTAACATAGGATGTTTTTAAAATGTGTTTACAGTATGAACATCTCACAAACCGACAGGCCAATTTTATGAAAATGGCAGCTTATGAAGCCAGGGCATGTGTTGGACAGTACCATAAGACATGAATCACATCTTTTACAATATATCATTGAGTCCTGGTTCACACTGATGAGGTGCAGAATTCGCAGCGTTTTTCAGTGCGAATTCCGCACTGCATCAGAATCGCACCCCATTCATGCGAACCGCTGCGGGTGTGTATGTTAACAACACCCTGAAAGCGGTCTGCAAAACGCGGTGTGATGTGCAGAATCGGATCACATAGGGTGTGAATACCCGTGCGATCTGATTCTAGTGAGGACCCAAAAAAGGGTTCTGTATGTTTTTGGTGCCGAGGTTAATTGCGGTGCAAAGAGAGTCAAACAAAATGTATGGCTCCAATCGCACCGCACACAAATCACACGTGATGTGCGCGGGAAAGCGGTGCGGTTCCGGTGCGAATCACATGCGATATGCCACACATATGAGAACCCGGGCTTACACCATTCATACTGTACACAGCAACTGCAGAAAGTCACACACCATACACATCTGTTTTATTGGATAACGTGTGGTGGGTGAAGCTCACTGTATAATGGAAGTTTTTCCTGTCTCCACATAATGTGAATGATAGGAACGCTGCACACCTAGCAGAGGTATTGTGACATTATGAATAGTAAATCGATTCCCATTAAGTGCCCAGTCACACCGGGTGCGACTTGCCATGCGAGTTTCAAATCCTGTGGACTTCACCTCTTCAGACACAGAAGGGTTGATTTACTAAAACTGGAGTGTGCAACATCTGGCGCAGCTTCAGCTTTGCCAATAAAACCTGGAAGCCGATTGGTTTCTATGCACAGCTGCATCAGACGCTGCACTCTCCAGTTATATGCAGGCCATAGACAGGTCGTTTATGGGCCGAATTTTTTTCGTCCGCACGAAAAATCAGCTGATATTGACGCCGTTAGTGGGGCAATGTCGTTTGACTTTTTTCTTGGATCTTCTCATTTCTTTTTATCAGTCATGCTGGAAGAAAATTCACAAAAAACAGACATTTTTTTTGTGGACATTGGTGGCAGCATCAGCAACGACCGATTTTTTATTTATTGGACGATAAACGACCCGTCTATGGCCAGCCTAAGTGAACCAACCCCAGTAGGTCGCTGGGGCTGGGGGAATCAGACAATGGCAGAAGTGATGAATTCTGCAGGATCTTCAGCAGACTACAAAGATGTGTAGGCCTGGCAGCAGGACAGGGAAGTATTTACTATAGTCTTTGCAGGGGACACGATTACAAACCTGTAAGAAGAGTCTTTCTTTAAGGTCCACATACAGGCACTGTCTGCCATTTACAAACGAAGCAATGTGAACTAAGGTCTTAGGCTATGTTCACACTAGCGCTGTGTGCAGGCGGCAGAGAGGCGTTTGGGAAGCTTTTTTACCGCTTCCCAAACGCCTCTGCCAATTCTGCACATTACAGCACATGGTGCTGTTCTAACGGGAGCGTTTGCGTCTCGGCAAAACGGACGCCTCTGGACGAGTCAGGAGGCGTTGAAGCCTCCTATTCTCGTCTATGGTGCCACTCCGCAAACGCCCGGCCGGCGTTTGCGGGCGGTTGCGGGGCGTTTGCGGAGCGGTAACACCACTCAAACTGCATTATAGGCGTTTGTGGGGCGTTATTAACGCTCGGCAAACGCCTAGCAAACCGCCGCTAAACCGCGCATGCGGCGTTTGCCCAGCGTTAAAAAAATGCTCCGCAAACGCCGGACCAACGCTTGCCAAACGCTATAGGGGCGTTTGGCAAGTGTTGGCAAAACAGCCAAGTGTGAACGAGCCCTTACACTGATAAAACAGACCTTTTCTCACAGCTCTCTGTAGTTACCACAAATGTTTACTTCAAACAGTCATGGATTGCACAAATGTAGCTATACACAGAGAGCAAGCAGCTCTGAATGACGTTAAAATAAAATAGATATGCGGTTTCTTTATAAATCAACCACCATGTTCGGATCACAAAATATCTCCTAAAGAAACGTGCTGCTGTTGGGTCTATACCAAAGAAAACCTTCCTAGCCACCACAGATGTGGAATCCATAAACATCCCTTACAGCTTTGCTTGCTGAACCTTCAAGAACCGGACCTACTGGCACAACCCATCATTCAAACGTCATCCTTACCCACAACTCCTTTACCTTTGGCTGGGACCCCTCCTGCAGAAAATGGGTGTCAAATCAGATGAGAATTTGCACCACAATATGCACATTATGGTAAAACTGGAAGAATACTTGTTCTAGGTGTTCCATAAATCGTTGGGCTGATTTCTACCACATCAGGAACATCATGATTGCAAGTGAAGAGGACCTTCTGCAATTCCACAATTACTACATTGCCCAACTCACAACAAAACTAAAATAAATGAAAATAAGTTTCTTGGACACTACAATATCAAAGGGAACGGTCACCTCAGATAATCTGCAGTCTACAGCTCAGTAAATAGGTACAATCAGATCCTTTCACACAACATGAAACCAAGACAACCAGCTCAGCATTCCGAAAACAAGGATACAAGCCTGCAAGTAACCACATTTCAGTAAAAGGGGTGGTCAGTACGTCCAGAGCCACAAGAAAGAGTCCCACGTGTGGTCATCAATACAACATGGATTAGCAAAAGAAATGCAGCCGCCCACTGACGGAGAACATGGGCTATGAGAGATTTCCTGAGCCCACTTTCCAAGCATGCTGACAGCTGCCAAACCTTAAACAACGTATTGTGAGAAGCTCACAGGACACATGGGAACACCACAGGACATCTCCAGGTAGGCAGAAAGGTGCTACACCTGTACATGTCACTGATAGATACCAAATACAGAACACAAAGGCACCTTCCTCCTGCAGATCCTCAAATCTGGTATTTTTTATTTAAAGTGGTTGTGAAGGCTCAGGGGGGCTTTTTTTTTTACCTTCATGCATTCTATACATGAAGGCAAAAAACCTGTGTGCAGCATCCCCCCCAGCTCCCCCTAATATCCTGGCTATCCTGAGATTCCCTCCCTCTCCTCATTGGCTGATACAGCAGCAGGAGCCATCGGCTCCCACTGATGTCAATCATAGCCAGTAAGCAAAGAGGTGAGGGGGCGGGGCAGGGCCGAGCCTCTGAATGTGAAAGGACACAGAGCAGTGGGTGCCCCATAGCAAGCTGCTTGCTGTGGGGGCACCCAATAGGAAGGAGGAGCCAGGAGAGCCTACGAGGGATCCTAGAAGAGGAGCATCCGGGCTGCTCTGTGCAAAACCACTGCACACAGCAGGCAAGTATTATTATACAGGATTTATATGGCGCCAATAGTTTTTGCTCAGCACTTTACAATATAACGGGAGACAATACAGCAACAATACAGATCAATACAAGAGGGATAGGAGGGCCCTGATCCTTGGAGCTTACAATCTAGGAAGTATAGACATGTTTGTTATTTTTAGAAAAAAAAAAATATTTAAGCCTTTAGAAATCACTTAAAAATGTTCAAAATGCCTGCCACAGTAGTAGAGCAGATATACTGCTACACGGCGGCACACGTGCGCAAAATCACGTATATTATACACGAGATTAAGCATTTCCAGGTAGGGGGCACACACGAGCCGTGCCGCCATTCGCGGCCACGGATGTCAATCACTGGGTCCCGGCCAGTTATTACTGACAATCACCGATGGGGAGGAAGACCGTTTTGTTTACAAAGTCTTTCTCCATCAGCTTCGGCACACTGCTCGGGATGGCTGTGCACAGCACTAAGGGAAGCTGGGGGGGGGGATGCTGTACAGAGAAGGTTTTTTACCTTCATGTATAGAACGCATGACGGTGAAAAAAAAAAAAACCCTTGAACAGCACAGCCATCTCAATCAGTGTGCTTAAGGCCCCCTAGTAAAAACACTCCCTACACAAAGTTAACCCTTTGATCGCCCTTCACATTAACCCCTTCCTGCCCAGTGTCATTAGTACAGCGTTCGTGCTGTTTTTTTAAGCACTGATCACTGTATTGGTGTCACTGGGGATGTCAGTGACACCACGCCAGTTCCGTGTGTCATAATGCCCGCCGCAATCCTGCTAAAAGTCACTGATCACCGCCATTACTAGTAGGAAGGAAAATCCCAGTATCTATACCGCCATTTGTAAACGCTATAACTTTCACGTAGACCAATTAATTTACACGTATTGGGCTTTTTTTTTTTTTTTTTTTTATTAAGCAAAGATATGGAGCAGAATACTTTTTGGCCTAAATCTATGACTAAATTTGATTTATAAAACTTTTTTACTGGACAAGTTTAATAGCAAAGTCCAAAATATAGTTTTTTTTCTCAAAATTGTCGGCCTTTTTTTGCATAGAGCACAAAAAAATGAAAAACCGCACAGGCAATCAAACACTTCCGAAAGAAAGCTCAATTCGTGGGGGAAAAAAAAAAAAAAAAGGATGTAAATTTAATTTGGGTGCAGCGTTGCATGACTGCACAATTGTCAAATTAACGCAGCACCCTAACGCAAAAAAATGGCCTGGTCAGGGTGTGTGTGTGGGGGGGGGGGTGAGGGTTGGGATCCTCTGGAGGGCAAGGGGTAAATCTGTTGTTGGTGAACTACATCTGTATGAGAGATGACAATTTAAAATGACCTGAGGTTGGGGTAGGAATACAGATTCATGAAACAATTCAATTCTCTTTAACACGGCCTAAACAAATATTACAAGTCAATATTTTCTGTAAACCATCATCCCAGAGATATCTTCATAACTAAAGCCTAGTACACACTATATAAAAAAAAAAAAAAAAAAAAAAAAAATCATATGGAAAATACAGCTTTCAAAGGGATTGTACGATAATCTGATCACTGGTACACAGCTTTCATGTGAAACTATTCGAAGGGACAAGCACGAAAATTTCTTGTACGATACCAGATCGTAAGATTTCCATTTAACCAGTACAGTATTCCTCCGAAAATACAATACAAACATGACATCACCTCCCAATTTTTATTCTGTGGTACAAGAATTTTTGTAGCTTTTAGTAACCTTCATTTGATATGAGAGTAGCATGCAAAAAAAAAAAAAAAAAAATAATCAATCATTCATCTGACATTCATAGTGTGTACGGGGATTAAGACCTCCTAACACCCCGGTCACACTGAATGCGAATTGGCATGCGATTTGCTAAACGCATGCCAAGTCGCACCCTATTGTCCGCAATTACAACGGTCATATCGGTGCGGTTCCGACTTGGAGTGAGCCACACCAAGTTCCAAAGTAGTACAAGCACTACTTTTTGGTGCGACTTTCATAGACATCTGTACCAACAAATGTCTTACAAATCGCACCTGAAATAGACAGTTAACCCGACTTTAAAATTGTGAAATTTCAATGTAAGTCACACAATTTCAAAGTTGGGTTTGATGTGACCGGGGTGTAAAAACTCATACCATCCCCCACCTCCCACTAAGGTGTGAAAAGACTGTCTCCTACAGACAATGACACCTATCTACTTACAATGAATCTTTTTAGCACCCATTGCCACAAGTTGATAACATCTGTTGATTCATGTGTAAAATGAATGTTTCTTATGGTCAGTTCATATTGCCTGAACAAAAAGCCAACTTGAACTACAATTAATTAGCCAATAAAGTGGCATCTTCTGATGTAAATGCTGAAAAGCATTTTTTTTATTTTGTCCTCCAAAAACTATTTTCCATACAAATATATAAATCTGGACAAAATGTATACAGCCTAAAAGGATGCCAAAGGTTCTTCATAGCGGTACTCATTTATTACACTCTCAGCACTATAAAATGAACCTGAGCCCAGACTATGCACATTAAAATGTTACTAAACACCGGACCCCGCATTCCCTATATCGCTCTCCCCGGACCCCCCATTCCCTATATCCGCTCTCCCGGACCCCCCATTCCCTATATCCGCTCTCCCCGGACCCCCCATTCCCTATATCCGCTCTCCCCGGACCCCCCATTCACTATATCCGCTCTCCCCGGACCCCGCATTCACCATATCCGCTCTCCCGTATCACGCATTCACCATATCCGCTCTCCCCGGACCCTGCATTCACCATATCCCGCTCTCCCCGGACCCTGCATTCACCATATCCGCTCTCCCCGGACCCTGCATTCACCATATCCGCTCTCCCCGGACCCTGCATTCACCATATCCGCTCTCCCCGGACCCTGCATTCACCATATCCGCTCTCCCCGGACCCTGCATTCACCATATCCGCTCTCCCCGGACCCTGCATTCACCATATCCGCTCTCCCCGGACCCTGCATTCACCATATCCGCTCTCCCCGGACCCTGCATTCACCATATCCGCTCTCCCCGGACCCTGCATTCACCATATCCGCTCTCCCCGGACCCTGCATTCACCATATCCGCTCTCCCCGGACCCTGCATTCACCATATCCGCTCTCCCCGGACCCTGCATTCACCATATCCGCTCTCCCCGGACCCTGCATTCACCATATCCGCTCTCCCCGGACCCTGCATTCACCATAATCCGCTCTCCCCGGACCCTGCATTCACCATATCCGCTCTCCCCGGACCCTGCATTCACCATATCCGCTCTCCCCGGACCCTGCATTCACCATATCCGCTCTCCCCGGACCCTGCATTCACCATATCCGCTCTCCCCGGACCCTGCATTCACCATATCCGCTCTCCCCGGACCCTGCATTCACCATATCCGCTCTCCCCGGACCCTGCATTCACCATATCCGCTCCCCGGACCCCTGCATTCACCATATCCGCTCTCCCCGGACCCCGCATTCACTATATCCGCTCTCCCCGGACCCCGCATTCACTATATCCGCTCTCCCGGACCCCGCATTCACTATATCCGCTCTCCCCGGACCCCACATTCACTATATCCGCTCTCCCCGGACCCCGCATTCACTATATCCGCTCTCCCCGGACCCCGCATTCACCATATCCGCTCTCCCCGGACCCCGCATTCACTATATCCGCTCTCCCCGGACCCTGCATTCACCATATCCGCTCTCCCCGGACCCCGCATTCACTATATCCGCTCTCCCCGGACCCCGCATTCACTATATCCGCTCTCCCCGGACCCCGCATTCACTATATCCGCTCTCCCCGGACCCTGCATTCACTATATCCGCTCTCCCCGGACCCTGCATTCACTATATCCGCTCTCCCCGGACCCTGCATTCACTATATCCGCTCTCCCCGGACCCTGCATTCACTATATCCGCTCTCCCCGGACCCTGCATTCACTATATCCGCTCTCCCCGGACCCTGCATTCACTATATCCGCTCTCCCCGGACCCTGCATTCACTATATCGGCTCTCCCCGGACCCCGCATTCACTATATCCGCTCTCCCCGGACCCCGCATTCCCTATATCTGGTCTCCCACAGTACACAAAACATGGAAATGCAATTATTTTAGTAAAGATAACCTGCTAAATACCTTTTCTCATCAGCAATATATAGTAGTCTTGTGACTATCAGTGTCCAGCTGAGCACTGGTTAAAGCTTGTAGGAGGAGTTTTCATTTTCCTGTCCTACGAGGCTGCATAACACCTGTGCTGATCACAAGCACTCAACCAAAGAAAGAAGGAAAAATAAAAAAAAGAAGAAACCTCTAGCAAAACACACCAAACTGAGCATGTGCAGAGTGCCTTCTAGGGCTCTACCAGCAGATGGATTGGGGACAGTAGAAGGGGAGGACAGATTCAAACAGCCTTTTTACACAATGCAGAGGATTAACCCCTTAGGTTCCACAGTGAGTATAACAAGCACGCTTTACTGCATCTACAGACTGATTGTACTGTTGTGGGTTTAGCAAAACTTTAAGCTGTAAATCCATCTTAAAACTACCTTGTTCACAAGAGACACACTTTTTAATCAGAGTCTAGCATCAAGCCAATGAAATTCCTGGGATATTGATCTGGTCAGTTAAGTAGCAGAGGGGGTTGTTCATCAGTTTCAGCTGCTTCGGAGTTAAATAACAGGTGCACCAGATGGGCATCAATGAGACAACCCCCAAAACAGGAAAAGTTATACAGGTGGAGACCATTGACATTTTTTTCCCTACTCCTCTTTTCGGACTGTTTTTCACTGGTTTTGTATTTGGCTAGGGTCAGTGTCACTACTGATAGCATGAGGCCATACCTGGACCCACAGAGGTTGCACAGGCAGTCCAACTCCTCCAGGATGGTACATCAATACCTGCCATTGCCAGAAGGTTTGCTGTGTCTCCCAGCACAGTCTCAAGAGCATGGAGGAGATTCCAGGAGACAGGCAATTATTCTAAGAGAGCTGGACAGGGCCGTAGAAGATCCTTAACCAATTCAATACCATGCATTTTACCCCTTCCTGCCCAGGCCAGTTTTCAGCGCTCACACTTTGGATGACAATTGCGCGGTCATACAACATTGTACCCAAACTAAAAATTTTATCACTTTCTTCACACAACTAGAGCTTTCTTTTGGTGGTATTTAATCACCGCTGGGGTTTTTATTTTTTGCTAAATTAAAAAAAGACCAAAGATTTTGAAAAAAAAAAAAAAAATGTTTTTCTTTGTTTCTGTTATAAAAGTTTGCAATAAATAATTGTTCTTCATAAATTTAGGCCAAGATGTGTTCTACCACGTCTTTGGTGAAAATAACCCAAATTAGGATGTATTTTTTAGTTTGTAGGAAAGTTATAGAGTTCACAAACTATGGTATAGATCTGAATATTGATCAATCCTGAAGTACTGACAGCCAATCTAATTTCTTGAGGTCCGAGAATGTCAGAACAGTACAGATATCCCCCAAATGACCCCTTTTTGCAAAATAGACAGTCCGACGTACTTCATAAGAGGCATGGTGAGTTTTTTTGAAGTTGTATTTTTTTTGTCATAATTTTTCGGAAAATGAAAAAAAAAAAAAAAAAAATTATTATTTTCACAATTTTTTTTTCTTTACATACTGTCACCAGTGCAGTACAGCGTCATCATATAACTGGCATGGCGGTGATCAGGGACACTGACTGGTGACAGTGTGAAAAAAAAAATATATTTTTTTTATTTTAAATTGTTAATTAAATTTTTTTTTTTTTTTTTAATTTTTTTTTCATATTTCACTATGTCCAAAGTAGTACAATGTTACCATAGTAACATTGTACTACTTTGGGGAAGTGTTTTTTTTTTTTTTTTTTTTTTTTTTTTTTTTACACAATTTGCTTCTATAGCACAGAATTACTTTGCTATAAGCAAGCATTTACCTGAATGACATCGATTCATTCAGGGTTTTTTTTTTTGTGCTTAGCTGTGATTTGGCCACAGCTAGTCACATGATATGTGCATGTGATTAGCTGTGACCATTCACAGCTAGACACTAGTATACAATGGATGGCATGAATGAAGCCATCCATTGTATACAACTGTCATGTGACCTGCTGTGATTGGTCACAGCAGGTCACATGGTACAGGCAACGGGCCCAATACTCAGACCTGTCATCGGCCGTGTCTGAGGTACACGGCCGGTGACAGATCATGCCGCTGCCCAGCTCTGCAAGCGCGCGAACTGTGCATGTGCGGGAGTATGCCATATGGCAGCTTCCCGGAAAGCTAGTGCATTTTTCCGGACGCCACATGGCTATTGGCCGCGCGTCAAATGGTTAAACCATCATCAGGACCGGTATCTGCTCCTTTTTTCTTTTCCAAACAAGTGAGAATCACATGCTATGTGCAGCACCACATTAGTCTGAACCAGGGTTGAGGATTTTACAAATAGATATATAGTCAAACCAAAAGGAGAATAAAAGCAGAATAAATAGTCCGCAATGGCAGTCAACGCAATTCTGTGCCCTAATTAGGGATAATCTGACACGTTTCGGGAGACTAACACCCTCCCTCAGAGCTCAGTTCTGAAGAAGCGGGTTGGTCCCCCGAAACATGTCAGCTTAGCCCTAATTAGGGCACAGAATTGCGTTGACTGCCATTGCGGACTATTTCTTCTGCTTTTATTCTCCTCTGGTTTGTGAGTATATATCTGATTACACAATAAACACGTGGTGTACCTCAGTAATGCACGATGAGAGTGCGTCCTTGGTTGTTTTTTGTTCATTAGTATCCAGATTTCCCGATCTTTGAAGGGCTGCACCTCATCGTTTGACATTTTGAATTCCTTCTAGTCTGCATGAGGATTTGAGCACTGGTTTTGTTTAAGGATTTTACAAGCATGTGGTCCAGTGCATGTTTAAACATTTAGGGCCAGTTCACACTACAAAACGGCACTCTGAATACGTTTCTGCTTACAGTTCACACCACAAGCAGTTCCGGTGCAGTTTGCCATTTTCCAATAGGTTCAGTGCAGAAAAAAAATGCAGCATGTTCTACTTTTTTTCTGCACGGGAAACTGATGGGACTGGTGTGAACTAGAGCCATTGGAATACATGGAAAACACTGTGCATGCATTTTTGATGCAAAAAAATTAAATGCTGTGAACTGCATTCAAATGCATCTAGTGTGAACCAGCCCTCATACTGAACAGGTGCTAATGATTAACAAGACAGTCATTAGATCAAACATTATCAGCTGCGTAAGAAACTGGGTGGGGAAAGGTCCTGTTCTGACAAGTCATCGAACACAGCGCCTTTCTTCTGCACCCAGAAACCAGGGCTGCATGCAGTACACACCTAATACTACCACACTGCATTACAATGTACCCAGTGAGCACACTGTCCTGTTAGGCTACATTCACACCAGCGATTAAGGCCCGTCACATGGAGCAGAATCTGCTAACGCAGCAGGGGATCTGTCCGCTGATCCCCCACTAAGCAGAGTGGGCGGATGAAAGGTCACTGTCCATGCCACTTATGCAGAACCAGCTGTCCATTTACACCCGACTACCTTCTGAGAAGATCAGACAGAGGGGAACCCTTCTGTTTGTTTTTAGCACATAAGATTGGAGGTTGGTGGGTATAAACAGACACAAGTCCCTTTACATCCACTTCATAGAGGAGAATGGAGGGTCTGATCATGTCCACCAGAAAAACAGACAGGAGGGCCTGATCACGTGAAAGGGTCCTTAGAGGGCAGCACAGTGGCTAAATGGTTAGCACTTCCGCCTGGCAGTACTCGGGTCGCTGGTTCGAATCCCAACCATGGCACCACCTGCCTGGAGTTTGCATGTTCTCCCTGTGACTGTGTGGGTTTCCTCCGGGTACTCCGGTTTCCTCCCACACTTCAAAGACATGCTGGTAGGTTAATTGGATCCTGTCTAAATTGGTCCTAGTCTGTGTATGAATGTGAGCTAGGGACCTTAGATTGTACGCCCCTTGAGGGTTAGGGACCTTAGATTGTACGCCCCTTGAGGGTTAGGGACCTTAGACTGTACGCCCCTTGAGGTTAGGGACCTTAGACTGTACGCCCCTTGAGGGTTAGGGACCTTAGACTGTACGCCCCTTGAGGGTTAGGGACCTTAGACTGTACACGCCCCTTGAGGGTTAGGGACCTTAGACTGTACACGCCCCTTGAGGGTTAGGGACCTTAGACTGTAGTAACGCCCCTTGAGGGTTAGGGACCTTAGACTGTACGCCCCTTGAGGGTTAGGGACCTTAGACTGTACGCCCCTTGAGGGTTAGGGACCTTAGATTGTACGCCCCTTGAGGGTTAGGGACCTTAGATTGTACGCCCCTTGAGGGTAAGGGACCTTAGATTGTACGCCCCTTGAGGGTAAGGGACCTTAGATTGTACGCCCCTTGAGGGTAAGGGACCTTAGATTGTACGCCCCTTGAGGGTAAGGGACCTTAGATTGTACGCCCCTTGAGGGTAAGGGACCTTAGATTGTACGCCCCTTGAGGGTAAGGGACCTTAGATTGTACGCCCCTTGAGGGTAAGGGACCTTAGATTGTACGCCCCTTGAGGGTAAGGGACCTTAGATTGTACGCCCCTTGAGGGTAAGGGACCTTAGATTGTACGCCCCCCCTTAGATTGTACGCCCCTTGAGGGTAAGGGACCTTAGATTGTACGCCCCTTGAGGGTAAGGGACCTTAGATTGTACGCCCCTTGAGGGTAAGGGACCTTAGATTGTACGCCCCTTGAGGGTAAGGGACCTTAGATTGTACGCCCCTTGAGGGTTAGGGACCTTAGATTGTACGCCCCTTG